TCCATCCTCCACTTACAGCATCATCCATCGTCCACCTCCACCTCTGTCTTCCATCCTCCACCCTCCACCTCCATCCTCTACCTCCATCCTCCATTTCCACCCTCCACCTCCACCTCCATCCTCCACCCTCCACCACCATTCTCTACCTTCATTCTCCACTTCCACCCTCCACCTCCACCATCCATTTCCACCTCCATCCTCTACCTCCATCCTCCACCTCCACCCTCCACTTCCACCTCCATTCTCTACCTCCATCCTCCACTTCCACCTCCATCCTCTACCTCCACCCTCCACTTCCACCTCCATCCTCCACCTCCACCCTCCACTTCCACCTCCATTCTCTACCTCCACCCTCCACTTTCACCTCCATCCTCTACGTCCATCCTCCACTTCCACCTCCATCCTCCACCTCCACCCTCCACTTTCACCTCCATCCTCTACGTTCATCCTCCACTTCCACCTCCATCTTCCATCCTCCATCCTTCACCTTCACCTCCACCTCCATGTCCATGCTCCAGGTGTAGGTGGAGGATGGAGGTGGAGGTGTTGGTATATAGTGAGTCTTTTTCTCGAGCTGCATGCAGGAAGTGTAGAAACAAAGCGACTGTATGTTTCCACAGAGACGTGAACGAGGCTAAAAAAGGACTGAAAGTTGATATTTTTCCCACAGCGCAGCCACAGACTCTGTCAGTATTTAACTATAATTGCTTGTGATGATGTTTGTCATCTGTCTCTTTTCGTATATATTCCCCCCCAATAAGTGGATTTGTCAATTTTCATTAGCCGCTCCGGCAACTTGACCGAGTCCATGAAAGAGGCGTTTTCACCACACAAACCTCGAAACAGCAGAGTGCAGCGAAGTTGAAGGATTTGCATTTCAATGTGCATCCAAAGCATGACCTGCGGCCCTCAGTGTGTCCTCCAGCTCTTCATATTTCTGTCAGTGTTCGCAGACACACGCGTGTCATCCTCTGAAACACAATGCGTTTGTGGTGGCGACACAAATGAAAGAAGAATTGCTGTCGCCGGTGGCTGAACGAGTCGCTGCTGCCAGTTAAACCGCCGACTCACTCTCCAGCTCACGTTAATTACACGACGGCTGGCATCTCCGCGGCTCTCGGCTCCCACAGTGTTGTCGGCAACCTTTCCAAATCGCTTCCTAAAAGCCCGGCGACGCTGGCAAATCATGAATTGTGGAATCTACAATGCCAAGTTATTGTTTCTGTGAAATGCCTGCACAAACTGCCAGCACTGATCAGCCTATCATCCCCTAACAGGATATGTATTTTTAGATATGAAGCTGTTTACATATCTATCAGGGTTTATCTTACCGTCTCAACCTCCCATAATCCTCTGCTGCTCCTCCTCCTCCTCCTCCTCCTCCAACTGCTGCAGTCTTATTTTCCTCCTCTGTGCACTTCAGAGCACTGCTGGATTCCTGCCATCTGTGCTTTGGCTCAGTGTGTAGCTGTGCGGTGTGTGTGTGCGGTGTGTGTGTGCGGTGTTTGTGCGGTGTGTGTGTGCGGTGTGTGTGTGCGGACGTGCGCGCTCCGGCTGTGTGTGTTGTTGTGTTTCGGGGTCGATAAACTTGCTGAGACAGCCAGGGCAGCTCACAGGTTCTCCAGCTTCACTACAGTTCACTGGGTGAAGAATGGCTTTGCACAATGCCTGCCGCGCTGCCAAGTGGACTCCACTCACTCTATTCCCTCCCTCGCCTTCCTCTGCGTCTCTATTACCGCCGAATCACTTTGCTTTTGCACTTCAATCTCGCAGGTTTCACTCATTCATGTAGTCCGTCATGCTCTTTGTGCTTCTCCAGGCAACACCATGATGATCATCGTGGAGAGCATGTCCAACGGAGCCTTAGACTCCTTCCTCCGGGTGAGTTTTTTTTTGTTGTGTCTTTATATTAAAGTCAAGTTTTTCTGAGTCATTTAATATTTAGAATCCGCAGATACCGAGTCCCAGTCCGACACCTTTTTTCCTACATAATTCACACTTCAAGTGCAATAGACTTCAGATCAACCCGGTGCTTGACTCTGGACGTACAGCTGCAGCTTTAAATATGGATGCTGCTGCAACAAAAGCTGAAACGTGGATGCATCAGGTAGAGATGTCCTCATCAAGTCCTGATCGGATGCATTCTTTTCTAGATTATAAACACTTTAAGTACGTTAAAGTTAATAAAATCAGCCCCGTGTATCGGCATGGCAACAAAAAACCTGCACTTCAGTCTGTTCTGTAGGTAGTAACGATTATAATAAAAAACTTTATTTATACGCTTTTCAAAACAAATGTCACAAAGGGCTTTCCAATAAAATTAAAATAAAGCACACAGAATAAGATAATATAACAGTAAAATAAAGCACACCGATAGATAATTTAAGAGGTCCGTGTTTGTTTTATGCACCAGCTTGGTGGATAAAACCAGTCACAAGAACAAGAGGCTATAAAAACAAAGAACTTACAGCTTAAGTGAACTCAGGGAGAGCTCTCCGCTAAAAATGTGTTTTAAGAAGTGACTTAAAAGAGAGAATCAGCCGACCCGACTTCCTCGGCTGAGGAGGTGGAACCTTGTTGTGAAGCTCTGGTGGAACCCTGTCTACATGTAGAGGTGGTACTGAGGCCTGGACTCAGAACCTGTATCCTCCACATGATGTCAGTAAACGTATCGTAGACCAGCTGTAGTACCTGGTTGTTCCACCAGGTGGAACCTCTTCCTGTTTAATCCTGTAGAGACCAGAGGAGGCGTCACTCAGACTACAGCTCATGGTGACAGCAGAGAGCATTGTGGGAGATTATCACCATGAAAGAGACTCTGAGGAGGTTCATGACCTCCGATCACAACTCCTGAGTTTAAGACAAACAGGAATCAACCAGTTCCTTCATTTCAGTGGCACATGTAACAGAAACCATGTGTCTGTTTACTAAAACTTAGCAAGTAACAGGCACTAAGGCAGAGACTTGTGACACTTAATGAGCAGAAATTATGTGTTCAGGTCAAACTAGGACAAATCTTTAATAATCCCACAACAGGAACGTTTCAGCAAAGAGAAACCTGTAGAACATTCAAATATAATAAATATACACAAGGAGCATTGACATTATACAGATTCCTCTAAATGTGGAGAAAAAATGTGCATTTTTATATAAAAACGTTCCTTCACGTGAGTAGAAACACCGACATGGCCCAGATTCTGGTATATGTAGGTGAAATTTATATCGTAAAGAGTTTTTAAATGTACAAAACATCAATACTGGGACCAGACAGGACAAAGTTCTGGTAGATTCCAGTGAATTCAGCATCAGAGTCACGTCTGTGGCCCGAATCACTGAAACAGTAAGTACTGGTTCAGTCCGCTGTGCTCCGTTTGTACCATCAGTTAATGAGTTCTGGACTGATTACTGGTTTAGAAAAACCTCTGACAATGTGACCTCCAGCATCCTGCTACAGATGTGTGACGTAAACAAAGCATCAGGGTTTATTTAAAGGTTGAAACATCTGTACTGAATCATTCTGAACTACGACTCTGAATAATTCATCTCTTTGCATCACATTCACTGAGATTGAGACGTTTTTTTTTCCATGAAAATATCACTTCCTGCCTTAAAATGGCTCCGATCTCACTTTATATGAATCTGCTTCTCAAATAAGAAGTAAAGTAAAAGAGGAACACATGAGAGTAAACCTGTTAATAAATATGATAAATATGGATGAATTGTATGGAAACGAGCACATCTGTAAAGTCCTGCCATGCAAGAAGCCATATTTGCTGCAGCTCGAGCACACCAGCTCACCTGTAACACTGTAACGCACATGACAAATTGTAATATTGGAGTGAATCAGTCGAATATGTTTAAATCAGAAAACGATTCTGCAGAGAAACGATGTGTAAATCATGTGTAAGCCGACTGGTTCGTTTCTTTTCAGGTTCGTCTTTTCTGCAGGTTTTGGGTGTAAATCTTCCACCACGGCTCCTTATTTCCCCCATAATGTCTAAATAAAGCAGCACATGGACGAGTTAACGAGTTACAAACGGGCTTTTCTCCAGAGGTGCTCTTTAAGTGCACATGCAGATGTTTCCTCTCGTTATCTGACAGCATTAGGACTCATTACTACGTCGTGTCTGGCCTCACAGACGGCTCTCTCTGTTCTAATAATCCCAAATTCGCTGCATTTTTCTCATTATAATTACAACAATATTAACAACAATGCAGTCCTACGGCGGCGACACTTACTGCAGTAATAAGGAAAACATAATTAGCAGCGTGTTTGTGCTCAGAGACGCTGTGATCTCGTGTAAACTGAGCAAACCGCCGCTTCATGAATTAGCGGCCTGTTTGTTTTTATCCTGCAAATGGATAAATAAAAGGGAACGCAGCGTCCTGTGCTGGTCTTTGTTTGTCATCCGCGACCTCGCTTCTCCTTCTCCTCTCACCCCAGAAACACGAAGGGCAGCTGAGCGTGATGCAGCTGATGGACATGCTGACCGGCGTGGCGTCGGGGATGAAGTACCTCACCGAGATGGGCTTCGTGCACAAACGTCTGGCTGCGCACAAGGTGAGGAGGCGACGGAGGTTTTATTCAGTGGATACGTGAAGCTGAGACGCAGTCGTTCTCCAGGTTTCTGTAAAGGTCACGTTGCAGAAGCAGCTGATCCGTGACGGCGGCGGCGGCGGGCCTGCAGGAAGCTGAGCGCCACGCTGGGACCGTTCCCTCCCTAATCAGTGTGTTTTCCTGATTCAGGTGCTGGTTAACTCCAACCTGGGCTGCAAAGTGTCCGGATTCAGACCTCTGCAGGAGGACAAGATCGAGGCCATTTACACCACGCTGGTAAGAGGGAGGCGAGGATGTCGGCTTCACTTATGCTGAGCTTGTTACCTGAATAATGAACCTTAGAGTGTCACAGGTTGGTTCTACGAAGCAGGAATGGGTAAACCGAATAGTTCCCTGATTCTCATCCGAGCCACTAACATCGCCGAACGAAGCGGCTTAATTACAGCATCGCACGCTGGATGCATCGCGTTGCCATGGAAACAGACAGAAATCACATAAACATGTTTTCATGTTTGGTCCGTTTACACGCTGGTGCTGCAGCTGATGGATCACCGATCATTTATCACAGAGAATATTCAGTCAATAGCATTATTTCACTTTGATTTGTCCAAAAATTACAGTAACATCCTGCATCAAGACCTAAATACACGTCAGTACAACATCAGGTTTAAACTAGGAGGAATTAATTACAGAAAAATAAGGCGTTAAATTAAAAAAATAACACGTTTAATCGCAGCTTTGTCTGACAACAAGTCCTAAAATGTTGAATATAGTCGCTGTAATTGGACTTAATCTGTGAATGAAGCAGACGGCTGATAAATGCAGATAAATATAAAGAATAAACATTTCTGTTGTTCAGGTTCACGTACATCCAGTCGTCAACCAGCCTGCAGGAGACCTGAAACCTTTGCTTATTGTGTCGAGTGTTGCTGGTTGATAATAATTACAAAGCCTCCAATTAACAGACTTAACTAGTTGTTTTAAATAACGTCCCTTCACTAGTTTAAATACATGAAAATAACAGTTTACTGTCAGCATTCCTGCCTCCTTTACAGTAGCAGCATTTTTATTTTATGTTTATGTTCCTCGTTTCATTAAAACAAGCTGCCGACTGAAGCGGCTGCTGATTGGTCCGTTTCCAGCACAGGAGTCACATGACGCATTAAGCTCCTCCTCTAACGTGAACACAGTCAGAAAGTCTTCATGAACAAAGAAAGCTGAAACCCACCTTCATGGAGTTTAGGTTCTGTTGATCCGACTCTGACACAGAAAGTCTGGATCTGTTGGACCTGCTTCAGGTGTTCAGCGTCGGTTGCCACGGTGACGACCTCACATCCTGCTTCGTAGTTCACACCTCTGATGTTCATTATGAGGCCTTAACGTTCTGGTTCAGGTTCAGGTTCAGAGGAGCTCGTGTTTTCGAGCTTCAGAACCAACCCAGAGCTTGAACCAGTTCTGCTGACGTGCTGAGAACCTGCTGAGAACCCGTCAGAGGAACTAAAGCTGCTCTGTTTCAGCACGGAGGGAAGAGCGTGGTTCTGTGGACCGCCCCCGAGGCCATCCAGTACCACCGCTTCTCCTCGGCCTCCGACGTCTGGAGCTTCGGCATCGTCATGTGGGAGGTGATGTCCTACGGAGAGAGGCCCTACTGGGACATGGGCAACCAGGACGTAAGTTCACCGCCTCCATGGGCCTCCATGGTCCTTCATGGGCCTCCATGGTACTCCATGATGGTCCTTCATGGTACTCCATGATCCTCTATGTTCCTCTATGTGTTCTCCTGTGTCCTCCGTGGTCTTCAATGTGTCCTCCATGGTCCTACATGGTCCTCCATGATCCTTCATGATCCTTCATGATCCTTCATGGTCCTCCATTGTGGTCCTTCATGGTCCCCCACGATCCTCTATGAGTCCTCCATGGTCCTCCATGGTCCTTTTTTCTTTATTCTGTCATTTGGTGTCATTTTATCTTTTGTTTTGTGTCATTTCTTGTCTCTTTGTGACAGTTTTTGTCTGTTTGTGGTCATTTTTTCATTAATCTTTTCTTTAATCGTTTATATTTATTTCTTCTCGACCTGAGTCTTAATTTCGCTCTTTAGTTTGTCGTCGTTTTCAGTCACTCTGTGTGTCGCCTGTTGTCTTGTTTGTGTCTCTCTGACAGCTTTTGTGTCTTTGTGATTTGTCTTGCGTGTCCGTCATCTCCAGCCCCTTCACGTCTGGTTTGTGGTCTCCCCGCTGTGCTGTGGGGAACCAGAACCTTGAGCTCCGTCTCTGGCTCACCTCCTTTCTTCTGGTCTCCTGCTGCCGTCCCGCCTCGCTGGGATTCTCTCTATGAATGAACTCGGGTGGATCTTATTAAAAGCCACAGCGGAGTCTAAGTCGTCCTCTTTAAGTCTGCATCAGCTCCGTGACCGATCCGGTTTCCTCCTGAGGACGCCCTGACCCCCTTCTTCCTCCCAATCCCTCCCTCAGAACCCTTTCAGGATATGTAAAGCGCTGTTTGCTGTTTGAGGAGGCGATCGTCGGGCCGATACCGAGACGTCGTCCTTCACAGAAAAGCTCCTTTTTATTCCACTTTTTAGAGGAAAGTGCAGCTGAAGGCACAGAGCAGGTCTGCAGAGGAGGCCCAAGGTTTCATATTTAACATCAGAACCCAGTCGCTGCCTTTTTATTGTTTTGTGTCGTTTTGCGTCTCGTTTCTGTCGGTTCGTTTGCAGATTTTTATGTTTTTTGTCACGTCTTTGTGGCTTTGTCTTATTTTTTTGTTTTATTTTTGTCATTTTGCGTCTCGTTGACGTAGTTTTATGTTTCTTTAGGGACATTCTTGTGTTTTTTGTTGCCTTTCTATCGTTTTGTGTCTCGTTTACGTCTCATTTTTCCTGTTTCATGTCTTGTTTTTGTCACTTAGTGTGTCTCTGTGACAGTTTTTGTCTCTTTGTGCTCATTTTTTCTCCATCCTGTCATTTTGTGTTGTTTTGTGTCGCTTCGTGTCTCTTTGGGACAGTTTTTTTCATTGGTTTTTGTTGTTTCGTGTCGTGTTTGTGTCTGTTTTTTTGTCTCGTTTGTGTCATTTCATGTCTCTGTGACAGTTTTTGTCTTTTTATCTTTTTTTTTTGTCCCCCTCTCCGTCATTTTGTCTCATTTTTCTTGTTTTTTTGTCTTGATTTTGGCCTTTGTGGTCATTTTTGCTCCATCTTGTCGTTTCCTTGTCTTGTTTTGTGTCGCTTTGCGTCTCATTTCTCTTCTTCGTGTCTCTTTGGGGACGGTTTTTGTGTTTTTGTCACAGGTTTGGTGGGTTTTTTTTTGTCTCTTTTGTTTCATTTTACGTCTCGTTTTTCCTGTTTTGTGTGTCGTTTTTGTCGTTTCTGTGACATTTTTGTCTCTTAGTGGTTATTTTTTTCCTCCATTTTGTCATTTGGTGTTTTGTTTTTCTTTATTTGTGTCGTTTTGTTTGTTTTTTGTCTTTTCGCGTCTCTTTTGGACAATTTCGTCTTCGCGGTTATTTTATCTCGTGTTTTGTCCTTTTTTGTCTCGTTGATGTCGTTTCATGTCTGTCTGTGACAGATTTAGTCTTTTTGTGGTCTTTTTTGTCTCAGGTTTGTATTGTTTTGTCTCCCTTCTGCCAGTTTGTGTCTCATTTGTCCCGTCTCGTGTCTCGTTCGTCATCTTCAGTGTGTCTTTGTGTTGTTTTGTGTCTCTCTCTGATACGTTTTTCTTTTTGTCTCGTTTTTTTTCCTCATTATTTCATTTTGTGTTGTTTCGTGTCTCTTTGGGGCAAGTTTGTCTTTGGTTTTTGTCATTTTGTGTCTTTTTTTGGACCATTTTTGTCTCTTTGTACTCATGTTGTCTAGTTTTTGTCGTCTTGAGTCTCATTTCTGCCACCTTGGTTCTCGTTTTGTGTCATTTTGTGTCTCTGTGACAGTTTTGGTCTCATTTTGGGGATTTTTTTTCCCCATTCTGTCATTTTTGCGTCTCATTTTGTGTCTTGGCTTTCTGGTTTTGCCTTTCGTTGCGTCATTTTGTGTTTCTTTGTGGTTGTTTTTTTTTGTGTGTGTCTTGATTTTCTCGTTGTGTTTTTGGTTTCTGTCGGATGGTGTCTCTCTGTGACCATTTTTGTCTCTTTGAGGAAGTTTTGTCGTTAATTAGAGTCTCATCTGTGTCATTTTCTGACCGTTTCTGACTCTTTGTGTCTGTCTTATCGTTTTCCGGCGTCTTGTTTCCGTCGTTTTGGGTCTCGTCCCACTTTTTGGAGCAAAGTGCAGATGAAGAGCGACGCCGTTGTGCCGAGGAGGCGACACCTTTCCATTCAGCTTTAAGTTATTCATGGAGCAGGTTAGAAAGCAGCAGATCACCGGCCGGCTCGTTGTTCACGTCCAGGATTAATATGCATGAGCTATTCGGGGCCTCTTCTCTTTTTTTTGTCCGCTGCCCTTTTTATGAAAGCAGCAGAAACTTTGCGCTCCGTGTTATCAAACTTTCCAGTGGCGGAGGTTAGAGGTGAGGCCTGCCGAGCGGCCAGATATTAATCCACTTTAAATTTCTACATTACATCAGGGCGGGATCGGCGCTGGTCCACCTGTGATCCGCGGCGCCCTTTAGCTCCCGGCTCTGATTAAATGGAAAATGTCAAACGCTGAGAAGCATTTTATGAACGCTCCTTAGCGAGATGGAGGCTTAAGGACGCCGGCGGCGGCGAGCAGCGGGAGGAGAGGGCTTCAGGAAATAATGCTGCTGATGGATGTCATTTCTGCCATTATGCTCCGACTTTATTGCCTCTTTGGGGAGATTGTGTTCCTTGGAGTGGTTCAGGAGGACGGCGGACGCTCCTGAATGGACACAACATTAGTTAGATGGAGGACGGAGGAAGCTGCACATCTGTGTTTGATCTGGAGCGGTCACGTGTCGCAGCAGCACCAGACGCTTTTATGGTCCGTTTGTGGTTTCAGGAAAAGTTCCAGTCCATCAAAAACAGTTTTATTCATCGTTTTTGTCTAGTTTTGTGTCGTTTAGTGTCTCAGTTCTGTCGGTTTGAGTCGTTTCGAATCTCTTTGGGACAGTTTAGTCGTCTGGTGGTGGTTTTATCGCAGGTTTTCTGTCTCTGTTCCATCATTTTGTTATTTGTTTTTGGCAGTTTTCATCTTGTTTATGTAGTTTTGTGTCTCTCTGTGAATGTTTTTGCCTCTTTACGGTCGTTTTTTTTGTCAATTTGTGCCTCGTTTGTAAATTTTTTCATCATTTTCTTCCTGTTTTGTGTCTTGTTTGCGTAATTTTATGTCTCTTAGAGGAAAAAATGTCTATTTTTGGTCACTTTGTCTCATTTCTGTCATTTTTTTGTCTCATTTCTGTCATTTTGTGTCTCATTTTCGTCTCAGTTGTGTTGTTTTGAATCTCTTTGGGACAGTTTAGTCGTCTGGTGGTTGTTTTGTCTCTGGTTTTCTGTCTCTTTTCATCATTTTGTTTCGTTTTTCTAGTTTTTCATCATGTTTATGTAGTTTTATGTCTCTCCATGAATGTTTTTGCCTCTTTATGGTCGTTTTTTTCTTCCATTCTGTCATTTTGTGCCTCATTTTCTTGTTTTTTTTCCCAGTTGTGTCGTTTTGTGTCTCGTTTTTCCTGCTTTGCCGTTCGTTTTGTGTCATTTCTGTTGGTTTATTTCTTAGTTTGTGTCGTCTCGGGTCTCGTTTCTGTCGGTCTCTTTCTCGTTTGTGTATTTAATAGTGTGTCTCGACCGGTTCAGGTATTACGGCAGCCTTTAGGAACGCAGTGACTTTTCTGGTCTGGATTCGGCTTTTTTAATTCACACGTCTATAAAATGTTGTATTATAGGAAATTAAAAAGTTCTAATGCAGCTTTGAGCTGATAGGAGCGCAGCTATTGTGCCAGACCATCAAATATCCTGCGAAGTGGCGCTCAGAGACATCGAATATCCTGCTGCTCGACCTCCCGCTCTGCACACCACGCCTCGCTTCTCTGCTGTAATGTTTGCAGATTCCCGTTCACACGTTCATGCAGATTTGTATTCAGCTCATAGGAGGTTTGCAATATCTCTCTGTGAAATTAGGTTTGTTTTGCAGTTGCTGCTGCTGCTGCTGCTGCTTGTAAGGTCACCTTAAAGGGAAACCAGGCGAAGGAACAAAGTGTAATTAGCGACCGGAGAAAGTGAAGCAGCAGCACTTTTCTGCTGTTTAAAAAGTAATTCACACGACCTGCTACCACCACTTAATTAAATAAATGCATAGCTGCAAGATAGCAACTCTAATTTACTGGTTAGGATGAACTTTTTTAAGCTACAAATATGAGTTTTGTTTAACATTGTGTGTAATTTAAAGTGTAATTTCTGCACTAATTGATAAAAAACAAAAGTCAAGTTGTGGGAAATTAATTCATATTTAGTTCAAATAAAGATCAAAAACTCCAACAATGACAGAAAGTATAAAAATCCACTTCTAGGTGTGGAACTGGATCATAACAGCCTCTGGTACATGATCCAGCTCAGTGTGTAGAACACATATAATAATAATACGTTACACCCAGAACAGCATATAATGTGGAATATAATGAGAACACTTGATTTTTTATTGATTTATTAAATTTCAGGTCTGTGCAAATAGTGTTTAAAGTTATTTCCTTTTAATATGCAACAACTGTTCAGGAAAAAAAAAAAACACTGGAAATTGTGAATTTAGCAGAAATTTCAATTTAAAAAACGCTGTTTGCTCAACATGAGGAGTGTAGATACATTATTGAACAGTCTGGATTTCAATATGAGCATAAAACTATTCAATATGTACGGAAAAATATAAAATAAAAAGGAATAAAGTAAAAAAATTAAATAAATTTAAATCATGGAAGAGTCTGGATATTAAAATGAATACAATTAAAAGAGCAATTAAATAGTACAAAAATACAAAATATAACAATATAAAAACAATAATAAAAATTTCAAAAATAATTTTAAAAAATTTAAAAGAAATGGAAATTATTGAAGAGTCTGAATATTAATATGAGTACAATTTAAAAAGAAATGAAATTGTGCAAATATATATTTTAAAAATGATAAAAGAATTTGAAAAATTTTAAAAATCTGTATCTCAATATAAATATGACTTTTTTTTTTTAAATGTACAAAAATGACAAAATGATAAAACTACAAAAATCTTAGTTTTGAGGTATTAAAAAATAAGGTTTGATGCAAACAATATGAGGCACAGCAGGTCGAAGTTAATCAGCTAAATAACAATAAATACACAAGCTAAACTCTTTTTTTTTGTTTTGTATGTTTTATTTTCTCTAAGTTTGCCTTTATGAGACTGTGGCATGTCGGGAATTAATAAATTCAAATGAAAAATAGGTAAATAACCAAATGAATAAATGAAAATAGAACTAAATGAAACGAGCTCGATGACGTCGTGGTTCTTCTCGATCAGTTCAGGATTTCCATTAACATGTGTGTTTATGCTCCCAGTTATTAGACTAATTTAAAATACCTTCGCCTGTAGAGGATGAAGTCCTGGTTCTAGTAACTCGGTAGTTTGTTGTTTGATGTCATCAGAGGTGGTCGTAACAGAAGCAGACTGCTCTCAGACTGGAGCTCCGCCGTCCAAACGCTTCTATTCTTGGCGACTGAGCGTAAAGAAATAAAGACCTTAAGTACCTTATTTAAGTAGGACAGAACTTTCCAGAAGTCATCCAGTTACAGCGTGAGCTCTGTGAAATCACCAGCGCTGTGTCTCCGGCTGCAGGTGATCAAGGCCATCGAGGACGGCTTCAGGCTGCCGGCGCCGGTCAACTGTCCTCCTCACCTCCACCAGCTGATGCTGGACTGCTGGCAGAAGGAGCGGACGGAGCGGCCCAGCTTCAGCCAGATCCACTCGGCCCTCAGCAAGAGCATCCGGTCGCCCGACGGCATCGGCTCGTCCACGTTAGCGCGCAGGTGAGGCCCAGCGACGGACGGACGGGTCGGTCGGTGCAGGAAGACGCCGACCTGAGAGTTTTATGTGGTTTAAGGGTTCAGTGTCTCCAGAAGGTGAACGGCCACAGTCATGAGGTTTGGTGAGGATGCAGGCAGAGGAGCTCACAGATGATCAAAAGGACGTAGTTCATGTTTTGGGTCCATGAAAATGTGAAAAAGAAAAGTGCCAAATTTTCAGTCCAGGCTGGTGCTGATCCATAAAGTTCCTGTCAGAGTCTGTCTATGGATGGATCCATGGTTCTACTAGAATACATGTATTTAAGAAACTTTTGAAGCTCTACAAGACAACGCTCTAGTTTGTTTGTTATTTAGTCGTACATATCTCAAAAAAATTCATTCAAAATAACGTTGTTTTTTTTTTTTGCAAAATGACTCAAACTGTTTTGAAAATCACTAAAAAAAATGACAAAATATCAACAATAAACACTTATTGGCCCTTTAAAATGGAATAAAGTCCAACATTTCACATCAGTCCAGCCTGGTGCTGATCCATAAAGTTCCTGTCAGTGTCTATCTATGGATGGATCCATGGTTCTACTAGAACCCAGTCTCTGGTCACATCTCACCACCTGCTGAGGCTCTAACATCAGTAGAACCTAATGTGGGGAAGTTGGACCAGACAAAGTTCCAATATTTTGCTAATTTGACTTGAAACTTGTCCAAAATCAAACAAAATCAGTCCAGAACCACTGAACATTTGCTAAAATCAAATACAGCTCATCATAAATGAGACTCAAGATTTCACAAAATGACTCAAAATTGGTTCAAAATAAGTGAGAAACCACCGTGAACCGCCCGAAATTGTTTAAAATGACAACAATGCTTTGAAACTTTTAAATGGGAAAAAAGAGAAAAATGTTCAAACTTTGGTGTTATTGTGGTAAGTTTGGTCAGAGAAGGTTCTGCTTTTAATAGTTTGACTTGAGACCTGTTTTAAATGACTTGAAATTTATCTAAAACTGTCCAAACTCGTCCCCAGTGACAGTAATGAAAGTTTTTGGTCCTTTTAAATGTTGATGTTTGGCAACAACACTCTGGTTTAAACTTTAAACTCATCTGGAATTACAAAAAAATGTCCAAAATGACGATATAAGTAATTATCTGCTCTGTGAACCAGATCAGAATGTTGGTGGAGCTTCTTATGTGTCCTCACTGAGCTCAGTAAGTGTATTTCTGGAGATACTGAACCCTAAAAATGAACACCTGCAGGTCTGAACCCATGAAATCCTCCAAATGCAGCCAAAGCTTTTCACAGAGTTTAACTTGAGGGTGAGACTCTGGACCGTGTGTTCTGGTGTCCGCCGGCCTTAACGCAGCCTTAAACCCGTCCTCCTGCAGAACCCTGAGCTCGTCCATCACGCTGGCCGAGCGGCCGCTGCCCTCCTTCCCCTCCTTCAGCTCGGTGGGCGAGTGGCTGGACGCCGTGGACATGGGCCGCTACAAGGACAACTTCACCGCCGCCGGATACTGCTACCTGGAGTCGGTGGCCCGGATGACCGTCCAGTGAGGCGCCGTTTCATTCACACCTCTAGTTGAAAGCACATTTTGCACATAACGATACAGACTTCTGCTGAAATGAGGCTTCGAATGCAGAGTCGTATTCGTACTTTTACTTCACTATAGTATCCGAGTACTTCCTCCACCGCTGCACTAACGCAGCAGTGAGTGAGCGAGGAAACCAAAACAAGATTAACTTAAATGTAAATGTTCATAATCTGAATATTAATCATCAAAAGAGTTGTTTTGTATAAAAATCAACCAAATCTGAATAAAGTTCCTCAGAATCAGCTCTTTAGGAACTTTAATATATTTAATGAAGCTTTTTCTAATGTAGAATTTAAAGTTTAATATTTATTCACAACCAGAAGCTGCAGCAGTTAAATTATGACTTTATTAGAAAACTGTTTGTGCTCCGTACATCGAATAAAGTTACAGGAAAAAAAAGTGTGAATTTACATGTTGACAGTAAAAAGAAAAAGAAAAAAGAAAAAATACTAAAAACAGGAAGTAAATAGTGCTTTATGTCCACATCAGAAATCTTATATATCTTAACATATTTAACTTTAAATTTATACTATTTCTACTGAACCTAAATCAGCAAAAATACAGTTTGTTTGTTTGCTTGTTTTTGTTTGTTTGTTTGCTTGTTTGTTTTACAGATACTTATCTGTACAAAATACTAATTGTTAATAATTATTAACTATCAGAAAGTAAAATTATGTTCATTCAGGACGGGTAATTTGTAAATGTTTTTTTTTTTTCCAGATTTTCTCAGTTTTGTTGAAGTACAGACAATATGTAGTAAAAACACAGAAAATAAATGTTCACATGTTAACCGTCAAATAAATTAAGTAATTAATTAATTAATTAACTAATTAATAAAAACTGGCCAAAACTGCGCATAATCAAATATCTGTACTTCTACTTTTATAAATGGCAGTTTGTCCTTTTACAATGTGAAACTATTCTATTATTTATTGCATTTATATTAACAAAACCTTTTAGTTTTATAGATATTTGTTGTTATTTTTAAGCACATTTTTTTTTTTTTAAGGATTGCTGTTTTTTTTTCAACGGTTGTTTTTCCCTGTTTGTTCAGTGCCAGATGATAAATAATAAAATCACAGAAAATAAATATGAATTTACATGTTAACCATTAAAAACAGTAAATTAAAATAATAAATAAAATAAATCTCAAATTTTACAATAAATATTAAACACGCTGCAGTTATTGTAGATGTAAAACCAGCTGATTCTGAGATTTCATTTATTATTTTGACCCAATATTGTTAAAAAATAGACTTTTGTGCAGTTTTCTTTTCAGAGACAGTCATTATTCTTTAAATAACACTGTTTTACTGGATTTAAATCAACTAAAAATGTGATTATTTTTATAGATATTTGCTGCTTTTGGAGAATTCTATGTTGTTTTTATTTTATTTTTTGCACAATTTCTGCAGAAGACTCTAAATCCCGTCCCGTCTGATCTCGTGCCTGTTTTCTTTCCGTCCACAGGGACGTGCTGAGCCTCGGCATCACCTCTCTGGACCACCAGAAGCTGATCCTGGCCGCCATCCAGACCCTGAGGGCGCAGGTCATCCAGATGCACGGCCGCGGCGTGCAGGTCTGAGCTCGGCTGCAGCCGCTGCAGAAGACGACGCGTGCAGGAGGACGACGGCGGGCGGAGAGGCCAAGATCTTCCAGACTGAAAGAGAGTCCATCTTTCAGCCAGCTGCACTCCTCTACTCACCCCCCACACCTCCTCATGCCTTCCTCCACTCCCCAACTCCTTCCTGTCGGCGGGGGAAGCAGAGGACCCACCTCTGTCTGCACTTCAGCAAACTGCGTCGAGACGAATGAGATCTGCTCAGATCAGCTCCGATCTGCAGAGCCGGAGCTTCTGCACCGGACCAGAGCTGCAAGGCACGGACACGTATGGGTGGAATTTCCCTTTACCACAACAACAACTGACTCAAAACAATACATCGGCAACGACAGGAACTTTTTCGCCGGCCTTTGGCTCGAACACCATCCTGCAGGACGTGACGACATCTTACAGGAAGTGACGACATCTTACAGGAAGTGACAATGTCCTGCAAGAAGTGACGACATCCTGCATGCAGGAAGTGACGACATCCGGCAGGAAGTGATGTCTTGCAGGGAGTGACGACATTCTGCAGGAAGTGATGACATCTTACAGGAAGTGACTACATCCTGCATGCAGGAAGTGACAACACTTTGCAGCACCACGAGGATCCAGAACCATCTCACCGTCTGCTGGAGGAACATTTGTGGAGGGAAGCTGCGAGGAGGACAGTGCGGTCCAGGTCGGAGGATATTTACGGTATTTAAAGACGCTCCTGGCGGATAAACTGCTCTTTCAGGAATATCAAGCTGCCGTTTGCCCCTCTTGTGGGGGCGACTGACGGCGAAGCAAACGGATAATTGTAACGCAAAAGGGTCGATTTCGATTGTTCTTGTCTGTTTTTTTGCGCATCGTGTTTCCTTTTTACTCCCTTCATGCTTTGTGTGATTTATTTTGTGCACAGCCCTCCTGGTTTGTTGCTCTGTATAGACGTCGGACCAACTCTGGAAGATGGGCCGCTTTAGGTATTTATCCATATTTATTTCCGTTTTTAGACGATAAAGTTTATTTAACTATTTAAATGTGACGCGTTTGTCTCCTTGTTTTGTTTATTATGAACTGTGAGTTTATACCTGAACAAGTTTTGTTTTTTTGAGAGGATTTTTTACCGTCGACACACAGTATCTGTGTATTTTCTAAACACCGGGTTTGCTCGTTCTACTTCGCTCGGACTCGCTGCGAACACCGAATGCCGGAGGTTTTCTTGGTTTGCCGTCGCTCATTTTGCCGTTAACCTGTGGTTGCACTTTCTCCAGTAAACTCCCAGAACTCTCTCTGTACAGCGAATCCGCCATTTTCTGTCCCGTTTCACTCCCAGGAAGTAGTTTCACAATAAAAGCGTACATTTTCGACTGGAATATTGTACCTGCTTTGGTTTCTCCTCTTTTTTTATTTCTCTGTAACCGTTTCGTCAGATGGATTAAACTCATTCTCGGTGTTTTCACGCACATGTCGAACATATCCGACGGTCACGTAGAACAAACCGGACCTCGACACCACGACGAATGAAACCCTCTCGACCCCCTTCCTCTCTGTCGCTGTGACGTTATCTGTTTAATACTGTACATATGTATTTGAAAATGCTAAATCTATTTTTATAATTTGTTTGAAGAACAACGTGTTGAATATAATATCTGCTCACTGTGTAAGGGTTTTATTTGTTTGAATATAGGGGCCGTAGCCGCCCACGAACTCTGGTGTTTGGAATATAAAAACTGGGGGAAAAAAAAAAGTTTTGTTTCTTTCTTTTGTTAGTTTTCGATGATTTTTACCCGTTAGAAGAAAAATCTGATGGCTGTTGCAATATTGAAACGTGTTATTAAAAAATCTCCAATACAAGCGAACCCTGTTCCTCTTCGTCTTCTTTTTCCTGAACCGAATGTAAAATGAAATGATTCCCAGGATGCATCGTCCCGACAGTGAAGCACGGAGGTGGCAGCATCATGGGTGCAGAAGGTGACATATCTAGAAGCTCCATGAATGTCTGAGGATAAACCAGAACACTGGCTGACCAGATAAAGAACAGGAACATTCCAGCAGGAGAACAGTCCAGAGAACAACATCATCAGGAGCTTCTACAGCAGAACCAAGTGGAACCAGGGTGTCCAGAATGATGCGAAACTGGTCCAGATTGTTTCTAATCTTGTCCAACATGACACAAATGTTCTAAATGACATAAAGCTTTTCAAAATAACTCTGAATTAGTCCAAAATTGTTCAAATTTTCACGCAAATGACTTGAAATTAAACCAAAAATGTCTCAAAATGTGTCCAAAATAACCCATGATTGGTGGAACACTGACGTCCTTCAAGCTGTTGTATTAAAAAAATAATAATAATAATAACTAAAGCCGTAAGCGGCGATGGACGGGTCCTCGCCCTACGCTTGTCGGCCTTCGCGCACGGCGGGGTGTG